CAATGGTCCAAAGGTTTCGGCCTCCCCGGTTTTGGGTCCCCCCCCCCCCCCCCCCCCCCCCCCCTCCTTGCGCTGTCAAGGCGGGATTTGACGATCTCGTGCACGATCTACTGCTTGCCGGAGCAAATCCAAACGTTCGTCAAAGCGACAGTCACGGAACTCCTCTGCACACTGCGGCTAAGCTGGGCCTCGCTAACACTGTTTCGGTGTTGTTGAGCTCTCCCAGCACCGACAAGAACGCCCTTGACAACAATGGGTGCTCCCCACTGATGGACGCGTCCCTCCACGGCCGTGTAACCACGGTAAAGGTCCTCTTGGCCGCAGGTGCCGATGCCGGTATGCGGGGCCCGTGGGACGCCGCCTCAGCGCTCTCCTTGGCCGCTCAGTTTGGAGAAATCGGCGTGATGAAAGCCTTATTGGAGCATGGTGTAGATGTCAATGATGGTGGGGTAGGCCGCTGGAGTGCTCTTCACTGGGCCGCTCAGTTTAACAGCGCCGGCTGTGTTGCGGTGCTGCTAGATGCGGGAGCTGACATCAATGATATGTCTGAAAAGAGTGAGGGCCAAACACCTTTCCATTTCGCAGCCAAGGCTGGAAGCAACGAAGCCCTACTCGCCCTCTTGAGGCTGGGAGCCAGCGTCGACCAAAAAAACGACGATGGATTGACGGCTCTACACCTCGCAGGCCGCGTGGAAGGAGATGACATGGACCACACCGTGGACATTCTTTTGAGGTGGGGTGCCTCAGAACAAGCCGTAGATCAGGATGAGAAAACGTCTTCACAGAATCGGCGGCTCTTCAACTGGAGGGGCAGAGGAAGTGCCCCGAGCTAGTATGCGCACTCGAGCTGTTGGCCCGCGCCCCAGCTGACAGGACGTGGCGGCGCCGGTGCTGGCTGGTGATACTTCGTGAACGAACCAACAATGAACGGAAGGGCCACGGCAGTCGTCGGCGCAAGCGTAAGAAAGTAGGCAGTGGCGAAGGGGCTCTTCTACGTGATGGGGAGCGTGGCGGTAGCAACAAAGTGCGACGAGGAGAACGCAGCCGAAGGCGCGGCCGGGCGAGGGCAGCCGTCATGGTGGACCTGCGTGGCTTGGTGAACACTCTGGTGGGGCTGGGATCGGAAGGAGTGGTTCGCACAGTCGTGGGCTACATCTGAAACTGGAGAATCCTGGCGAGAAAGGTGTGTTGGTGTTGGGGGCTGGTGCTGTTCGAAGGTTGAATCTAGATTGAGTCCCTCAAACATTGCGATCGTGAGTTCGCTTGACTGCTTCCGACGTACGCATGCCCACATCGGGAAGTTACAGTATGCATCTCACTCTGCTGGTGTAGAGTTCAACACCGATGCTGCCACACATACTTCTGAATACTACGGCGTTCCGGAAGTCAAAGGAGGTTCCGTGATGCTTGAACCACTCCAACTCGAGAACAGGAGAGAGAAGCGTTCAACAACCGGCAATTGGTGCTGGCATGAGGGTTGTTAAATGGATGCTTGTGGTAGCCCGGCTGTTTGGTTGACATTGTTGTTTTCGTCGTTCCCTTGAAACCATTCTATGACGTTACTAACAGCAGTACCTCTTCTCTCTTTTTACGGTATGAGACTCTTGTTGAGAAAATACAGAGTATGTTCCACCACTAGCGATGAAAACGAAGTACCGTCACTCTGGGAAGGGGAATGAAGAGCCTCACACGAGACAGAGATACATCACACCCTTCCCTCGGAAGCTGAGTCTCAGACTAAACACGACACTGTCCAAAAATGCAAATGAGCTTTTGAAAACTGAAATAATGAAAAGTTTGCCTGTGGCCGAACAAACTGGCGTATAGCTATCGTAAGATAAAGCATGTTGGCTGGAACGTTCTTTCGGTGTTCGGGGCTCCCAGAGAGACGGGGTCTCATCGGTGCTCTCATTCCGTAGTCTCGTCGCTCCTGTAGCACGAGTGTGGAGCGTGCTGCCTGGACCGAGTGCACCTGTGGGTGCACGTGAGTAAGGGAAGAAGCACTTGGAAGGTCTCGCGGGATATGGAATAGCACGGTACAGCCAAGTATTTGGAGTTGGTCCAAAGCTATTTAACCAAGTAGTGTCGGTTGCTTCTTACGCGGCGTATCTCCGACAGGACTCCGACGTTTTTTAATCTTTTTGTCGGGAAGGACCCCCTGCGATCTCGCCACGAACCCCCAAACCAACATGTGAAACTATATTTCTGCCTTCCTGACGTTGCGGGACGAGACCGACCCCTGAGCTCATTCGCGGAACGTGCCTTCAATAGGACCTTGTGGTGGTTGAATGAAGCTTTTTGGTGGCTCAAGGTCTGCCCCATAGTGTGTCAAGAACTAGCATCTGGATGGGTATACGAGAGGAGGGCCGTCATCACATATGCCCACGAGTTGCTCTTTTGGCGAATGAGCTCAAGGATCGGCCTGTTCCGGATGTCAGGAAAGGAATGAACATATTTTTTTCTTGGTTTGGGGGGTTCGGGTGAGATCTCAGGAAAATCCGGTGAAAACGTGTACAGACCGCCAAAGTTCCTCCGAAGTTCTCCCTCTGCCTGTCCACATGTCCAGTACAATCCGAGGTTTCCAATGTCTCCTATAGGTCCGGGCATGATATGGTTTTCGAGTACCACCGCAGCAGGCTTTAACAAAACGAAGATTTTCCCGCACCCTTCGGAGCTCGGGAGTGTTTCATCTCCGGGTCTCGTTTCCGCCGAC